GGTGGCGCCATCTTGAGTGTGGCCTCGGGGCGAACTTCCGGGCCTCGGCCGCCATCTTTGTGTAGGGCCCTGGAGGACTTCCGGTCTTGGCGCCGCCATCTTTCTTTTGGGGCGGCCTCGCAGCACTTTCGGTCCGGGTGGTGCGCCCTCGAAAACAGCCCGGTCGCTCTCCACTTCCGGTGCCCCGCTTTACCCGGAGAACGACCCTCGCGAATTTCTGCGCTTTCGCCCCAAAAATCTTCACGTTATTCCCCCCTCGCACACCCCGGGAGAGACGGGAGACCGCGGCTCCCGCCCTGCCGCCGGAGCCGGCCCTCAAGTCGAGCGGGGAGCGCTGCAGCGGCACGGGAGCCACTGCGCATGCGTCGCCGCTTCCCCTCGCCCGGCCGCCCTCACTCACCACGTGATCGCCGCCGTCTCGCTTACGACTGCGCACGCGCCGCCGTCGCCACCTTGCGTGCCCCCCCAGCATCACTTGACCGTCAGGGAACGGGTGACCGGCAAGGTTCGCCCGCGTCGCTCCCGTACCGCCCGTCCGCGGCTGCAGCGATCCCCGCGCCGCCCCCTGGGACATGGAGAGCGGCCGGGAAAGCCCCGACACAGAGCTGCGCCCGCCGCCCTCGCCCCGGCATGCGCCGTGGGGCTTCTTTCATACACACCCAAGTCCTGCTTTCAAACCCCCTCTTTCTGCATCCTGCATTTCTTACACTCCTCGATCCTGTATATAATAAAGTAGAGGCGGGGCCCTCTTTCGAAATCAATTTATATGTCACTTAACGGTAATTTTTTAATTATTTTTACACGAACACCCCCAGTAATTTTCAGGCATTTTTGGGCTTAGCCTCCCTTTTTTGGGAGGACTCCACGTGACCCCTCTCATCCCCACTGACCTGCTGCTCTACGGCACGCTCGCTCTCTCCCAGAGGCGTCAGGATGTCCCTGATGACCTCATCGACCCCAGACTCCCCCACCCCTTTTTAACTCACCCCCAAAGGCAGAAATAAAGAGAGGAAGGGTGGGCAAAAGGCGGGGGGCAAGAAGAGGAGGGGAGGAAAGGGGTGGAGAAAAGAGGGGAGGAGGGATGGACATCTGGGGTTGCACGAAGGAAGGGGGGAGAAGGGGGGTTTTTCTCACCTGCCCAAGCTCGACAGCTCCATCCCAAATCCTCTCCCTTCTGCAAAAGAATGTTCCTCCCAAACCAGGCATCCACCAGCACAGCACACACACAAACCCCTCTGAGGGTCTGGAATGTGACACACACCCGCAGGGGTGGCTGTAGGGTTGCAAACAAGATAGGGAGGCTTTTTTATTACTGAAAGTCAACAAATGCCTCCAAAAGGAGGGTTTTGGGGGCAGTGGCAGCTTACTGCACTCTGCTGGACTCCCATCATCCCCATTCTCGGCTCCATGAGGATGTGTGCTTCCTCTGAAAGTGACAGTTGCCTGCAAAGCAATTCAGGAAGTCCCGTTGGTTTTGTTTCCAGCTTTTTTTCCTCAGCACTGCAGTGGTCAAAAAGGAGAACAGAAAACCAGGAAAAAGCCCCAAAAAATCCCACTGTGCCTCCCAATCCCTCACAACATGGAGCTCCTCACCCTAAGCCACAGCTCCCCCTCGGCTGCTAAAACTCAGTTTGGGTTTACTCCCAGGGGAGCACCCCAGCATTGCAGCTCGAGGAGCACAGGCTGAAGGCACCCAACTGGGGTCCAACACCAGCTCTGCGGAGCAAACAGGGTGTCCGGGGCTCCCGGGAGGCTCCGGGGTTATTCCAACGCTGCTCCCATCACATTGTGAGCTGAGGTTCCAGTGGCTCCCTCGAGCTCTGCCTAAGCCACAGCCGAGACTGGAGATCTCAAAGCCTGCAGGAGTAGAGTCAGAAAGGGAATGGGAGAGAAAAAAGATGACTTTGGGCTATCGGTCCGCAGGCAGTAATTGTGCCATTGTTAGCCCTGGTGCCAAAGAGCTCAGGAGCACCACGCTGGCGTCCTGGGGCAGAGAACTTCATAGACCTGTGTTATCCTCCTGCATCCTAGCTCCTCGGAGTCCACCCAGCACCCAGCTCATCCCAGTGCTGCTCTGCCCGCTCCAGGATTCTAAACTGCCAGAGAGGCCACAGGTCCCACACACAGGCCCCCCCACCACTTGCTGCCAGCAGCCAGACCTCCCCACGTCCCCAAATGCAGAGCCCCTTCCCCAGCATGGCCCACTGCCCTCAGCTCCCCAAAAAGAGGGACAGGAGAGCCCCCGTCTCTTTGTTTTCCCAGCGGGTTTTCCCTCTGTGTACAGCAAGATTTAAAGACAATACAAAGAGCTTTTATGCAAAATAAGTAGAGAAGTCTGCTTAAGAGTCAGCAATTAGTGCCCCAGTGGTTGAAGCCAAGTGGATAAATCCACTGGGATGAAACAGGAGTGGCTGACAGGATGGTTTATGGCACACTCAGAGCTGCAAGGCTGGAGCCTTCTTTCTTTTCCCGGGCTGTCACAGAAGTTCTGCCTCCCTTAAAGTCACAACACAGAGCAGACCCCCCCTCCCATTGCTTCTGTAGGAGCAATGCTCCCACCAGCCTGCCCAAGGAGGGTCCCCTTGCCCAGGGAGCAGGGATCAGGAGGCTCAGGGCTCCCTGCCCTGCTCAGGGCAGGGGCTGGCCAGTGCCACACAGCAAAAGCAGCCGTCAGGAAGGCTTAAATGCAATCAACACTTGTAAACAAGATTAAGCCACCAGCAAAACCACTTTTGAAATGCAAGAAGCACCCTGAACAAGTTACCTTTATTCCTTACAAGCCCCTCAAGTTGTCCACTGGATGGTTTTAAATTTAGCAGAAACATTTACCATAATCTAAGGCCTTCAGTCCCCTCCTGATAAGCAAACCTAGTGAGTTCTCTTGCCCAAGGGTGCCCAAAAGGAACAGGGAGTGCCTGTTGGGTTACCTGACCCTGGTCTCTCTGCTGGGGCTGCTCTCTGCCTGGCACAGACCTCTTTGTTGCAGCACGACTATGTTTTAGTTACTACTTTAACAGTAAAGCACCAGCTTTTTTTTTTTTTTTGTCATAGTTATCCATAAGAGTTTTCTATTAAAAAAAGATTAAAACAATACCTTTTGCCTCTGAGGGGAGGCAGCAGCAGCAAGCGACCAGCATGTTCCCTCCTCTCTTACCGGCCCAGGGAGTTCCAGGCACCTGCCTGGGCAGGGCTGAGGATGGCATCTGCAAAAGTTTTCATTCCATTAGTTTAGTGAGGTGACCTGAGCACTAATTACACCTGATGGTGCCCAGCTGCTGAACGGCCCAGCAGCAGCAGCAGCATTTGCGTTTCGTACATCCGCAGTCAGGCTGTCCGGCTGGAAGGGACCGGGGGTGCAAGGCCCGTGTTCGCCTGACCCTGCTGTGATCCACATCCTCACCTGTGCCTTGTTGTGATCCAGACTCAAACACCTGCCCCAGAGGAGCCACTAGGGAGGATGTCCCAGAGCACAGTTTGCAGAGCATGTCACAGGGAGTGTGGGCTGCGCTCCACCCCATCGCCGACACTGCGCTGGCCAGATCCCTGGTGAAAAGACATGTAGCAGCTCATCCAGCAGCACTTGTTTCTCTCCTTCAGGAGGAGAAAAGGCGGCACAAACAGACAAGAGATCACACAACCAGATTATAAAATCAAACACAACTCTTTTATTCCAGCGGGGCCATCCATCCCCGTATGTGGAGTGTGCGTGTCCAGCAGAGGCTGCCCAGAAGGATGAGAGGCAAAGAACTGGGATCCCAGTGCAAACAGTCATTTGTACCACAGTCACATTTGGAGAAGAGCCTCAGCCCTGCCGCTCACCCTCCTTGTTGCTGCCGGACACTGGCGGGTCAGGTCTGGAGGGGTTCTGCCCACGTGAACCCACCTGGGCTCCTGTTAAGGCTTCACCGGTGAGGTTCGATGCTACCGTTGTCTGTACGTACAGCAGCTCAGCTAAACACTGATTACAAACTCCATAGGCACAATGACTCCACAGAGTACATCACACAGAGAAACAATTCAACATCGAGGCCATTAGCAACCTGGAAAAACACTTCCGAAGGGACAAGCAGCTGTAACAGTATTTATTGCCACGTCGCCACGCTCACTGTAAAATAAAACCCTTGATCCCCACCTCTGCAAATGTATTGTGAATGGTAAAATAAATCAGCAGCAAAAACTGTTGGAAGAAACCAGCAGGCACCCAAGGGGCACAGGTGTCCCTGTCCCCAGGGAGCAGGGGTGTGGAGGGGCTCTACCAGGCAACAGAAATGCCCCAGCACCGGGGCAGAGGTAATTTAAACACAGATATCAAATCCATACTTGGACGCACAGAGGTAGACTCGCTCCTCTGGCTGTCCAGGGAAGAACAGGAGAGACCCCGGGAGCGGGGCTGCAAACAGCCGCCCTCCCCAAGCCTGCAACCCTTAAAAAATACATACAGGTATCTATTATTGCCAACAGGGAGTTTTAATACCCGCTCCCCTTGCACCATAAGATGAGTGAATTTGCAGAGCTTGGTCTTGCTCTTTTGTTGTGGAAGGGAGGAGCTGGTTTGTAGGAGAAGGGGAAGGGGCAGACCTGGATATCCGGTGTCTGAGGTAAGGTTGGAGGAAAAAGTGCAGCAAGAAGGAGATGCAAGAAAAACAAACAAAACTGCTTGGCTCTGAGCATCTCTCATATGAAAATGATTGTCAAAGAAGTCACTAGTGAAAACAAGGTAAAAAAATACGTTCGCCGTAGAGGTACCTTTCTGCATCTTTCAGCATCAGAACACTAACCCGAGGTCCGTGCAGTGTTTTCGGTTCACCACAGGAATACTCTTTGGAAAGCCCGAGTTGTGTCAGCCCAACACACACCTCCGGGGATGCCGCCCGGCTCGGGTGGTGAAGAGAAGACCTGGAGATCTCCCGTGTCCATCTGGGGAGGGGGACGCAGGTCTCCCGTGGGGTCAGCCCCGAAGGCTGCTCGGTCCCTCCGGCGCCGGCATCCCCACTGCGGCACTACCCGAAGCGGAATTTCAGCCGGTACTTGACGGGGCCGGGGTTCTTCCGAGGCGGGGATGGGGGGAGCTTTGGCTTCGGCGGCGGGGGCTTCTTCTCGGGGAGGGCGACGGTGAAGGTGAGCTCCGGGGGCTGCGGCTGCCAGAAGCGGGGCAGGAAGTGCGTGGAGACGTGCTGGGGCCGGGCGCGGGGGCTGCAGCCCCGCTTGGCTTTGCCCCGCTTGTTGAGGGCCACGTACCACTGGCGCCCCGAGCGCGGGCTGCGGTGCACGGCCGAGGCGTAGGTGTTGTAGCTGTTCTCCTGGAAGCGCTCCCGGAAATGGCAGTCTGCTGTGAACCGGGCCTGTGGGGACGGCGGGGACACCGTTAGCCAAGGGCTGCTGCTCCCTGTCCCTGTCCCTCACCCCCACCCCCTGACGCTTGCTGGGTTTGTCTGTCTCCCAAAAGCAGGTCCAAAGGGGTGGGTGGAAACACAGGACACCCATTTCAAGGGCGCAGGGCACCCGGCCATTTGGAAAACCCCTAACACAGATAATTCAGTAGCTGCTTGACACCCAGTTTGGGGCTTCCTTAGAAATAAAAGGCTTGGGCTGCCCCAGCAGTGCCCTTCCCTTCCCTTCTGTCCTGTCCTGCCCCAGCAGCACCCTTCCCTTCTCTCCCAAAAAAGCATTCCAACACGCAGGACCAGAGCCTAACACTCCAGCTGTGCACCCATTGCCCTGGGACCCCTGGCTGCAGCTTCCAACAGACCCTCCAGAGCCCACTGCCACACTTTAACCTGATGGTGGGCATGGCACCCGGAGCCCCACGACCATCCCTAGCCCAGTTCCACAGCAACGCCTCCAAGCCACTGGGATGGCATTGCTGAGCTCCTTGGCTCTGAAACCAGCGATGGAATACAAGACCAACCCCTTGCAGCACTTTGTAACCACGCAGAAGGTGTTTTAAACTCCTAATTGAGCAGAGAAGTTGAGCCTTAGAGCACAAGTGACACAGCCGTCAGCCTGCTGTGAACATTTAGCCTCCTAGCACTTGGAATTAAGTCTTAAGCTCATTGCTTCCGAGAGATGTCACCTCATGACTCATTTTCACTCTCCCTGTCT